TGGAAAAGAGTCCTGTGCATCTTTGAGCTCAGCACATACTGGACACTAAAGCCATTCTTACATCATGAATGAATTATGTCACTGTCAATAATAGTAAATGGCTTAAACTGAAATTATTCAATTTCCACCTCTGGATTATGGCTCCAACATAGCTCCTTGGAATATTTAGATGTTTGAAAATTGAAAATTAATTTAATTTCCCTTCTGGCTCAAGATGTTTTTAAATTAAATTGAATTACCCTTGGTATGCTTTGCAACAGGAATAATTTTTTGAGTGAAATTCTGTTTGCTTTCACCTGTCTAACCACTCTATGTTTTACTTTGTCAATTACATTTTTTTTTCAATATCTTTTAGAGTAATTTGCTTTAATTTCAGAAGAAATACACTGAAGTTTGTATTTTGAAACATGGCAAAGAATCAGAAGTCAGGAGTTATAAATTAGTTTACAAACTACCATTTAATTTAAGACACTTTTCTTTGTTAGTCATGTGCTGCTTTTTCAGCTGTAAGAAGAACAATATGAAGGACTGAAAAATTATAATTTTTAGATGAATTCATATTTCTTTTATTGTAGTTCTACATGATAGTTATCTGCTTTAACTTTTTAATTATTATTGAACAGTGCCCTCTTGTGGCTATATCTAATACCTACACCTTCCGAAGTTTAATCCTGGATAAACGTCCCGCCCCTTTAAACCAAATAACCAATCACAGCTTAGATTTCAGCTAAACCAGCTTTAGGGCGACAAGGTTTACCCTCTACATTGACTGTAAGGTAAAATACTTCATATTTTCTCCAGAAATGTAACGTGTATCTAAAACAGTTGTTAAGATATATAGAATTTATGCTGTACATACTTGGTGTGAATTAGACAAATCCCATGTTTGTGTAAAATATTTAGTTAGTAAGACCTGAAATACCAAACGTAGGAAGAAATTTGACCCGCATCCTCCGCTAGTCTTCCATCCAGCAGATTCGTTACCGTTTTCAAGACTGATAATTAGCTTTCTTAATGTCACCTGTGTTGCGATAACCGCAGAGGAGGCGCTACTCAACGCTTGATAAAACAAGGTACAGTTTTGTCAAAATCAAATTTTGAAACGGGCTGAATACACGAATTTTAAATTGTAACATCTTTTGCATACTTGTAAACCGTAACGAACTTTTTAACCACCCGCGGCTGTAAGCTAACGGTTTTTCATCTAGCACTTTCTAGTAAAAAGGGTCGCAAAAAGAAGGGTAGTTTTGTCCTGTAAATATTTATAAAAGTTTGCGGGGTTTTTTTTACTTTTATTGAATCGGTCTCAGTGGGTGGTTTGTTGTGGTGTGAATGTCATGGTGACATGGAGGGGTGGGTCCATTCTTCTCAAACTCTTCCCTTTTTTTTTTTTTTTTTTTTTTTTTTTTTTTTAGTGGTTTCTAGGCAACGGAGCAAGCCGTAAAATGCTCCCCTCTAGATCTCTGCTGCTCTGTTTAGCTAACATCTCTGAAACAAGGCTAATATTGAGCAAGTCTGAGTGCTGCAAAGTGACCTTTCTTCATTTATCGCTTAATAACTTTAGTCATAAATTATATAAAAAGTGTGTGTGTGTGTATATATATATATATATATATATACACACAATATTTTTTATAAAGAACTAATTAAACCAATATTTCTTTTTTCTCATCAATCTGAATATGCATTTTTGTTTTTTGTTTTGATCAAATCAACTGTAAAAAAAAAAAAAACATTTTTATGTGGATTGTAGTATCAATAAAAAATATATATTGTATTTACTCCTGCACAAAATGTTTCAAAATGAATTAACTCCTTCTTTGTTTGTAAACAAAAAATAAAAAACAGCAAAAGAGAAAAATGACCAGGATGCTTGGTTGAGCGTATTCTGAAAGTGTTTATATCCTTTAGATCAGGCATCCCCAACCTCGGTCCTCGTGGCCCGCTGTCCTGCAGGTTTTAGAGGTTTCCTTGCCCCAGCACATTTGATTTTAATTGAAAGCTGATTAACAGGCTTTTGGTCTACTGCAATCGTTACAATCAGCTGTGCTGGAGCAAGGAAACCTCTAAAACCTGCAGGACAGCAGGCCTTGAGGACCGAGGTTGGGGATGTTTGATCTAAAGCAGGCATCCCCAAAGTTGGTCCTCGAGGGCCACTGTCCTGCAGGTTTTCTTCTTTCAGCACAGCTGATTTTAATTGAAAGCTGATTAACAGGCTTTTGTTCAACTGCAGTCATCATTATCAGCTGTGCTAAGTCAGGGAAACCTCCACAGCGGCCCCTCAAGGACCGACTTTGGGGATGCCTGCTTTAGATTCTCCCCATTCCCTCTGTTTCAAGGAAGCTTTAATTACAGTTCAGTAAACAATATATCCTTGCTAGAAAATAAAAATACTGACTACGCAGACTTGGTTTTGTTTTCTTTTACCAGTCCTTATGCATGTATCCTGCGTCCCTCGGATCTCATTAGTAAATCTTCAGGGAATAATCTGTCAAATATCTGAGCCACCTTGCAGGCTGGGCTTTACCCATCTTCCTATCTGTTGGATCCGTCTGCATTTGTTTTGCCTCGCTAATACTGGTCTGATATCACTGTGGAGGGTCTTCAATCCATGTAACTGCTTTGACAGACTTTCCTTTTTCATTGTTCCTTTCCTCCTGCTCTTTAACATCCATCTCAGATGTTCATCCCAGATGGATCCGTAAAGGCTAGACGGTCAGGTGATTAGTGTATAAGTGTGTGTCTTGTCCAGAACCTGAGCCTGTCTAATTTCTGCATGTATACTGATGATCACTGCCCGTTTGTGGCCAGTGAAGCCCCCTGTAAGGGGTTCTGAGCAGCTTAACTCTTCCTCCCCATATGGCAGCTGAGATAAATCCTTAGTTCTGCAGGGAATAACCTGGAAGGAGCATGAACAAATCAACAGGTGCACTTGTTGCCCTGTGATGAGAAGAAACTGCTCATTTGCTATTTGTTTCTAACAAAACATCAGTGGTTCAGTTTCACAACTAAAACCCAACAGCGCAATAATGCTCAGCAAACAAAAAGAAAACCTTCTAAATAAGAATCTTAACTCCAATTTAAACTATCCTATCTAATTTTGTACTTATTCATATTCATCTTTTTATGTAAAGTCTAAAACCAATCATATTCCCCCTCTAAGTCCTGGTTGTGGTGCTTTATTTTAAGCTGAACTAAGAATAAATCATTTTACAGCATAAAAAACACATTTTAGTATTTTAATTTAAAATTCTAACAATAATGCTACCTGGGCTTCAAGGGCAGTTTAAATTCTCCAGTTAAAAAGTTTAGTTGTTTACATTTGAATTGATTATGTGTAGAGGGGCTTCATTGGTGTTCAGGATCAGATTTAAGAGCAGCTTGACCTCGTTTTTTTAATTGTTTAGTTCTAATGGTGAGTGATGGAGCTCTAGGAGATAGCTTTAGAGACACGCCTAGGGTGAAATGACAGTCTGTACACCTGAGGTAAGAGAGTGACATGAATGATTAGTTGGCACAAAAAATTTACAGAAAATCTGCATGATCCATATCCTCAGCTTGCGGGACATACTGCACCAGGTAACATTTAAGGGTTGTTTTTGTCTTACTAGGAGATATTGATTGGCACCCTTAAGGTGTACTCTTAATTATCATGGAATGAACAGATTTAATGGCTGTTGTGCTCAGTTCTAGAGGATGACAATATGGTGCAGGTAAGTGATTAGATAAAACCTTCAAACTTCTGATGGCTGTTTTAAAGTTTCTGTATGTAAATGTTTAGAAATATAAAAAGGGCCAAACTGTTCACTGCAAGCAGATTATGCTTATTCTCTTTTGTTTTGTTTTTTTCTTTTTTCCCGTGGGACTGTTTTATGCCCAGAAAGTGTGTTCTGTCTGCACTCCTTTGTGTGGGTATCATTAGTCTCCCTGCCTTTATTTTTTTTAACTTAATTTTTAAAGACTTTTAAATAAACTAATTGATCTTTTAATTTCTTTATTTCATAATTTGTTTTGTGTATTTTCATTCCTTTCTTTTTTTAAAGAAGCATTACGGAGTTTTATAATGATGCTGCCACCTGTGGCCAAAACCCAGAACTGCAGCACTCTTTTGGTCGTACCTGTAGCTCGCACTCATACTTACAGGAACAAGTTGGTTGTTTTTTGAACAACAACTGCCAACTGAGTTGAGCTGGATACTGGCCCCTTCTGAGTATCCACAAAATCCATCTTAAATATAAAGCTATCATTGTTTGCTAGGATGGACCCATTTAGCATGGACGTCCTAGACGTTAGATCCGCCAAACAGCGCAGGAACTTCTGAGCCAAAGTAAATTGAGGAAAATAGGCTACCAGCTTATAAATACATCAGTGCTGAACTACTGAGGCGTCAGTCTGCTCATCAATGTTTAGTTGTAAATGGTAAAAATGAAAAGGCTATTTTAAGATATTTTTCAGTAGAAACTTATGTTTCTTTAAATCAATTGTTAAAGAAATGTAATTTGTTTTGTTTTTCTTAATTCCCAGTATTTCTTTTAACATATCTGATATTAAATAGATTATTTTCTAAAAAAAAAACAAATTTTTCACAATTTTTTATCAATTTCTCTCTTAAAACCTATGTTTCTGTTTTGTATGGGAGATCAAATATGCCTTTATCTAATCACTATATTTATTTTGATGTATTTATATAAAGTTTTGATCATTTAGCTTTTATATGTAAATCAGTCGATTTGAACTATAACCCTTAAATATAGCATTTCAGTAACTATTTAAATAATGAATTGTTGGGATTGCTGCACTTGTATCCTACAGTTTTTAAAAGACAAATGTACCATAATTTAAGAAAATAAGAATAAAATAGTTGCATGTACAATGAAAATGTAAATTTATTAGATTACTCAATTGCAGCGCCTTTTGTTCTCCATATTTTATTTCATCTGTATGTTTTGGTATTAATGAAAAATAACCCCACTAGTTTTGTGTTTTCTATACATAGAAGAGTGATGTCAGATTTCCTAGTTTGGCTGAGAAGGTGATTGAACCGGAATGGAGAGAAGAAGAAACACCAGACCTGGGGTTCTGCAGTGGACTCCCGCTCCGCTCTGGATCTCACCTGCCACCTCTGTGACACCCGAGGATTCCTGGGAAGATGAAGAGGAAGATCCAAAAGTGGATGGTTTTGTTAAGCAGATGGATGAAAATGGCATCATTGGGCTGTCAGAGGCACTGGAAGACCTGAAACTAGAGGAAGCTTGTGGTTACAGCGGTCCTTCCATCACAGAGGAAGCGGTTCCTAGTGGAGGTGGTCAGTATCGAATGCTTGAAAGTGTCATTCTTTAAGCGGGAAGATATTATAAATACTACAATATAAGGAACAGATGAGATATTTAGTTATTAAAAGAGTCAATCTTGGGTTATATTAAAACAAAGCAATTTAAGAGCATGTATTTTAACACAATGACAGTAATAAAGAAGTAAATACATAATTATTAAAGCCAACATCAGTCACATATTTAAGATACGTCCAAAGACACACACTTTATCTAATGCTCGAATATCTAGCTTTTGAATTCATTTTGCTCTTAAATGCATGTTGATCCAGTCTAAATGATGGAGAAACGAGAACATATCCTAGACCTCCTGAAAGCCCAAACGAAGGGAGTGAAATACGTAAAGGGAAATATTAGTAGTTGAATGGAAGCGCTCCACTGGGACTTTTATAAGACAATTCAACAGCCTGTGATCAACAAGATTATTCTTGTCAACAGAAAAAGATTATTTGTAAAGAAGCAGAAAAGAAATCGGTTACAATCACCCCCTTTAAAAAATGGTTTATACCCAGTTTTTTCTATTCAGACATTTACTAAACTAAATCTAACAGCTACTTTCATTGTGGTTTTATCTTACCAATTTAAACTTCTGATAATGTTTGAATCTTTTTTTTTATTTCTGATATCAAAGGGACCAAATGTATCAGGCGTTGCAGTCTGTCTCTGGATCTATGGCTAGAAATTTTATTTTTGGGTTACTTTTGAATTTTTTTTTTCTAACTTTAACTGTTAAAATGATGTAAGACATTGTGCTAAATATTCAATGATAAAGGATAAGAACAATAAGCCCAGCTAAGGGAAAGCAGACCTAGAAAAGTATGTGACTTTTCTTAAAACATGATGGAACTCTGGTTTCTTTAGGATTAAATCAGCAGCCTTTGTTAAAGCAATGCCTTTTTTTTTTGGTTTGAAAGGTGGATTAAAAGCCCGGACTGAGGATTGGATAGCGAGGCAGAGCGAGAATGACCATGGCAGGCATTTCGTCATGACGGAGGAAGAAGATGAAGATCACCAAGGGAGTAAAATAACTAGAAAGAGAAATGAAGTCCCTCACACATCAGCAGAGCTAGAGGCTAGAGAAGGTTTGGCTAATTGTAGGTTTGATAGAAATCCATCTGAAAACTCCAACCCTGACCATCTGGTATCTGAGCCTGCAGTTACTGCCTCCTTTTTGCCTCATCTTTACCGTTTCCCTGAGGAGGAACTGACTGCCGCTCTGGGAATTGAAGCAGAAACCTTCCCAGACATGGGCTTCACAGAAACAGACTCTTATTGCAGTCAAGCAAGTGTGAAATCAAGTCCCCGGTGTCCGGTGACAAAGCCCAGGGCTTCTCCTCTGCCCACAGATGTATTTTGTGAGGAAGTTGAGTTAAAGGATATTCCTAAAAGAGTGTTAGAAAAACAGAAAGCTGGACACTCCTCTGAAGCGACATGTTCCCTTGGAGGAGCCAAGAAAGACTCTTTAAAACTCAAACAGCCGAGCAACGGTCCTGACAGAAAACATCCTGCAGGAATGAATGAATTCAGGTGACTTTGTGTTTAACTCTTCCCTTTCTTTCCTCTTTGTCTATTTTTATTGATCTTCCCTCTTTTATTTTCATTAGAGCATCAACAAGTCGGCACACACCAGACTTCTCTAAGGTGGAACCCCGGGTTCATTTCCCTAAACGTGGCTACAATCCTCCAAGACGCAAGAGCTCATTGACGAGGACCCCCGTGTCCGCCGAGCCCCCGATGGTGTTTAAATCCCCCGCCGACATCGTTAAGGAAGTCCTGTTTAACGCGCCAACCGACGGGTCGTCCGCTTCCGCTGATTCCAACGCACCAGCAGACGTTCCCAACTCCATGGTCCCTCCAGAGTTCATGTGTCCGCAACAGGCCATGATTCTGCTGCAGCAGCTTCAGGTACGAGCTGGAAAATAAACTGCCAAATATTGGAATTACAACTAAGAATGTCCAGCAGTTAATGGATGGCTGTGTGAGAACGTTCTTCAGATTCCTTTTTCCAACCTGTAATCCCAAACACTTTCTCAGCAGGTGGAAATAGAACCAAGAATTCCCACAAAAACAGAAGAGTATTGTACCAGCCCTAAATTTGTCAAATTAATTAATTAATTAATAATATTGATTAATCAAATGTTTTGTTTATCAAGATTTTCCTCCTGGAAGACATGGATTTTTTGTATTTTTTTTATTTAATCTACAGCTTTGGTTGACATCAGTTCATCACTCTTAGTTTTTAGATGTAATTTATAACTGATTAATTACGAGCTACAAACATTAAGTCATATTTTCATTGTTTGTCGTGAAACATTTTACAATTTTCAGGACTTAAATTTCATTGACTTTAGATTAAGTTTACCTCTTATGATGATTGAAAGCAAAGCTGCTTTTTGAAAGAAATCAGTGTAGTTTCTAATTTTTACTATGAAACTTAAGAGAAAAAAGATTAATTGATTTTGGTAGGAAAAATCAGAGCTTAGATTTTTAAGCCATATGGCCCAGCTCTATCAAGTTGTTTAAAAGTTGTATCTGTCCATTTAATTAATCTACTCTCATATCTAAAAAAAAAAAAGGTATGTATTACTTAAATTTTATTTACTAATAACAATATAAATTATATCTCAATAAATCATTTTTTTCATTGTTCAACTATATTCCTAATCCCCATAACAATGCCAGTTTTTAATGACAGACTTAGAGGGGCCATGTTTGTCCTCTCAGGTTCAGATTATGCATTAAGCTGAGCTCTGGGAGATGTTTTAAGCTAAAGAGAATAGATTTGTCTTCACAATGATTTCTGTCCCGCTAATGATCTCTAACTGCCTCTGAGGACAGAAACGGGCGACACTAGATGCAGGTTGATGCCTTCTGAGGGCATTTAGGTCAACTGGATTTTATAGACCACTGACCTCCCTTTATTATAGGTGTATGTTTTTTAAACGAATTAAAACTTATTTTAACAGTTTCTTTCACTACTATATAATATGTGGTCTGCATTTAATGATATTTGGAACAAACTCAATAAAATGCACACCTTGTTTAAAAAAAAAGGAAAGCTTTAAAATTATTTAATTGTCTTTAGCTAATTCTTTTTTTTTAAATCATATTCAGAGCAAACTGCAATAAGCGATCCCCACTCTGCCTTCTCTTTCTCTTGTTAGGAAAACTACAAAAAACTGCTGACCAAGAACGCCGAGGCAGAGAACACCATCGATCGCCTCCGTCTGGAAGCCAAGGTAGTTTATCTCACACTATGAAGCATCATTTTTCGTTTTGAAACATTTTTTGTGTTTTCACAGGAGTTAGGAAAATAGTATTTTATCTTGGTGCCAGTATGATTTATTATTTATCTTATTTTAAAGTTAATTCAAAACAAAGCTTTAGATCAATGACAACAGTAGTGGTCTCACAAATTGGATTTTTCATTAAATAGAAGTAATGTTGCATCTCTTAACACTCCAGAACAATTTTTTTTTAATATTAAAAAGAAAAACAAAACCCTATTTTTGCTCTTGAACACGTTGCTGCCACCATTTGAAATGATTTCTCATACTGCATTAAAGCTAAGCTCAGGGCATCCAGTTTTATCCTCCATGTTCGAAATAGTTGTTCCAAGATGAACTTTTCAGCCACAGGTGATTAAATAACTACAGGTGAATATTTTGGCAGCATTTTCACCAACATCTTTAATGGTTCTGTCCATAAATTAAGGAATCTTTAGAAATTAAAGTCTTTATGTCTTTATATTTAGCAGGCATGATTGTTAGATCAAGAGCTAAAACATTCAGTGGTAAAATAAATCCAGCTCCCATTGTTCTGCACTTGATTAATTACTGATCACGTCCCTGGAATTATTAAACGTTTCATATCTGATTTCAACAGTTTTAAAAACAAAAAAACCTGATGGCGCTGAAAATTCTTCTCTACATCTACCTGATCGCTAGACAGGAAGTGGCACAACAAATGATTCAAACTACACTGATATGATCTGAACTGGTGATTCAAAAACTGATTTAGGAAAAAAAAAATCCACAAAAAGGCACCTATATTAAATCTAAAAGGTTATTTGCAAAGGAATGTGACATTTTGTGATCAAAAGCTAATATGATGGTGGAAATGAGGAAAAGACGAAAGCGGGGATTAAGTTGTTCTGGAAGAGGACGCCAGGGCGGCAGAAGCTTGTTTTGGTGTAGAAGGCTTTACAGCCGTAAATGTTTGAGCCCTTCTGTTAGCTCTACACCTGCTGAAGACACAGACGTCCATCCCTGTGAACACAGGGATGGAAAAGTAAATTATTCTGTAGATGAATCAAGATGCTATGACCGAAAAAATTTTATTGAAGGATGACTTTTGATATACGATTGGCCGAATTTAGGTGTACAGGCTGACGTATAACTAACTGGACTGCAGAAAATAAAATACCCCACAGATTTTAAGACAGGATTTTTTTTTTAAATACACATTTTCTAACTATCATCTTTTCTATCATCTGATAAAGATTAAATTTATATACATGTTTAAGCCAGAATGATTTGACGTTTAGATATGACTTCCGTACGACTTAAAAAAAAAAGTAGTGCAAAAAGAGGTATAAGCTTCTAGTTTTTAAAAGTGTGTTTCAAACTGTACTTTCAGATGATAAAGACAACCAAAAGACAAAGTCCAGACAGTTTTAGCATCTCAAAGCAAGCTAAATAAATCTTAGTGTTGATATGTAACATCCTCTGGTTGGTCTAGGAGACATAAGGGACATAAGTCAAGATACTGAATTGAATTGAAGTTGTTTATTTATATCATATTTTAACTTTTTGCTGCACATACTCATTTAAGCTTCTGAGAGAACTCAAGCAACTATAACAAACAAAAACCACCTTAAAATAAAAATATAAGTAGAACTAACCTATTTCTAATGGAAAACAAAACATAGAAAACTACAAAAAAAAACTTGACAACAACCACATGAACAGGAGAAAACTGAGGCCGAACTAAAGGCAGGTTTCTACAGTCTGACCAAAGTTAAAAAATTAAGTAAAAAAAAAAATTTAAATAAAAGCATCTAAGGCTGCTCTACCGGTATTCCTTAAAAACCTAATGTTCAAGTTAAATGTTGCTTTAATGTTCAAGCTAGTAGAGCTGTAGCTATGGATCATTTTAGCAATCGATAAATCCATCTATTGTTTTTTTTTAAAGAATCAACTTTTTATAAATTTTGTAAATTTTTGGAATTTTAAAAAATTTAATTTTTTGCTCATTTTTGATGAACCATTCATGGAGAAAACACGTAATAAATATATATGTTATGTTCTTATTCTTTTAGTAAATGGCATGTTTTACAGTCTGTGTAGCATTTCTCTAGGTAATTTGATTAGAAATATATTGATAATAATTTAAATCATCGATTAATCGGATAAAAAATTTTTTTTTTAGTTCTACTCTAAAGCAGATACGTTTTAATCTGTTATTAGTCAAGTCTTTTTTGTCCCCTCCAGGTGAACCTGTTCTCTGACCCTCCAAAGGCCGGTCACTTTGTGCATTCTGGAACGAGTCAACATGCTTCAAACCTCTTGAACCTTGACTTTTCCCCAGCTCAGAGGGCCCATATCTGCTCTCATGGACAAAGTAGTCAGCAGGGTAAGCCTGTTGTTGGTCTCCATGTTAATCTTAAATATATATTTATACGACTGAAACCATTTTCTGTAACCAGCTTGTTTGTTTAGCAGAAAAAGCAAATCCCTCCCCATCAACATCCAGGTTGGGACAACAGCTCTCCAACCTCCTCTTCAGTCAGTCTGAGAAGTTCCTCCAGCAGGTAACTGATGAACAAACGCCGGTCAGTTCAAAAAATCTACCAAGGATTTAACATTTTGCATTTTTTTTTCAGCTCCAAACCTTTGATGATCTTCTAAAGCGTGATAAACTAACATCTTTTGAAAAGTTAAAGGTAAGAACAACAAGCCAAGCTCTATTCAGTAATCTGATTGGCTAATCTGTTCTAATCTGATGAGTTCCTGCTCTCCTTTAGGGTATTTCTCAGCTTTCTGAGGGGCTGAACTCTTTAGAGAGGGGCTTCCTTCTGGCTCGGGATGAACACAAACTCCTGCAGCAAAGAGGAGCAGAAACCTGCAACTTTGATCCTGAACGGTGAGAAAAGTACGGAAGAGGATTAGGGCCACTGAAAAAAAAAAAGAAAAAAAAAAAGTAAACTGATTTTTAAATTTTATTTCAGTTTAACATGGGGAAAAAGTCA